AACAAAAACGATTGGGATAAAAATAATCATTTATTATGTATTTTTCTCTCCAATGAGCATCTTATGTTGTTGCCAAACATTTACATTCTCACAAGAAACAAGGTTTCTCCAAGGAATACATTTCCTGTGTCTTGCCGGAAGCGACAGCTTTAAGACTGAATCCTTTGGAATATAAGCGTCACCTCCACATATGTAAATTGACTAAAAAACTCTGTTCATGTCATGTTAAACCATCCTATGTTGTTAGTACGTCATCTTTACACAATCATATTCCGTGACTTCTTGAAAAGTAAACTACAAGTCATTGAAGCCCACAGAATATTCAATGGTGACCTTTTGCGGAAATAATAGATACCGTGCAAAGCTTTGAAATTGAATCCACAAATGATAAAAATGCAACTTCTGTGCTTTACATCCTCACACTATCCTTCAATCTGAAATGGTTATTTTTAAAGACTTTTTTTTTACCATTTACGGTTTTATTTGACACTGCAGAGAGACGAATCCTGGAAATGAGGGTGTTATATTCCACAAAGATGATAAAAAAAAACATTTATTTGCTGATAAATTGGAAAAAGAATTGGTAAACACGCCCAGAACTGGGATTTTATACACAAATAATTGAACAGTCCTCTGGAAACATGTTCCTTGATTCCGTGAAATTACTCAAGCAAAGCTTTAAGACCTCATCATCGCTGGACGAGTTTTATGGTGGGTGTAAAAAAAATCCACAACCATCACTCTAAACCCCTCCTATTTCCAATCACAACAATTGTCTTTGCTATTCTGTTGATTCCCCGACCAGTAACAATATTAAACTCTCTCTGGTTCACCAGGTGCAAATATGATGAAAATGTTAATCCCTATAGTGCTGAAGGCAGCATGAATTGTTGCCAGCTGTCTGTCGGCAGCTGTATGATCTAAAAAGACTCCCTTAATGTGCTCTCTCTTCTCAACATACAGATACAGATATTTCCCTTCAAGCTGATAGTCATGTGCTAGATTTAATGCTACATCAGCCCACAGCTATCCCTTTATGCATCGGTGGAAGGATTTAGCTGCTATAAGGCTATATAAAGGCCATCTGCCTGTCTCATTAGTGCCAGCTTTCCTGTGTTTTCACCTCCAGAGGATGAAGGTCTGGATTAGCTCTAATTCTTGTACTCTGACATTTCTTATGCGTACGGATTATATATCTGCAAAAGTCACTGTCGCACAGCAGCTCAGCATTTAGTGTCACCTGAGCAGGTCAGAAAACAAAGATACAAACACACTTGTGCATTTATTGCAACAATGAAAGCCAAAGACATGGTTGTCTATGGCCTATAAGACATTGGACTTGGAATGGTGGATAGCCTTTTACTGCACAGATATACAGCCTCGCTAGAGAGACATTGAGTATGTACACTTTAAAAGTTACAAGTTACAAACATGTTTTTATTGTGCTGTTTCACTTTCTCTATTCAAATACATATTTTCCCAAGATAGTGAATCTAGGAAGGCAAACAGAAAGCCTGTTTTAAGCCCTGGCCTTGAAGGAGCAACAGTTCCTGATCTGAGATCCCTTTATGTCATGCCTTGTGCCTTTTTTTAGTCATAAAGAGAAACCATTGTACTGTGCAGGACAGTGTGTTGCCTTGCTGTAATTGTCACAACGGTTTGGACAGGTCAACAAAGCATACAAAGTGTCATAAAATAAACAAAGACATACAGAAAGAATCACAGCACTTTTGAGGAATAATTGTTCTTGTCACACTAAAGACATTTTTACTTCTCTATATTTATTGACTCATGTTTACAAAAGAGATACAGCATACTTGTCCGTCATTAGCTCAACAATAATACAGTTATGTGAGAGTAAAATGGCAAATCATCAAATATAGTGGGAGCTGACATACTGCTAAATGCAACCGGATGCAGTACCACATCCTGGTATTTTTGGCATACTGCATTTGACATACTGTGTATTATTTTGCCCGGCATACTTAATGGTATACACAGGTTGTCTTTTTGGCGTTGAAGTCCGACAGCTTTACACTGTTTTCTGGGAATTTTTGATAGAATTAAAAGTAGAGATATATCTATAATTCCTATGTAGTGAGAAAATAGTAAATTTGTTTTCCAATAAAGGTGCAATGGTTACTGATCATACTTGGGGTCATAGAAGAAGAATACATACTTTATTAATCACCAACGGGGAAATTACTTTATCTACTCTGTTGTGTTGGAGAGGTCTTCACATGTAGGCTGGCATCAATGACTCTTCTCAGAACAGATGGTGATGCATTGTCAAATGGGCTAGAAGATGGGTTCATAGTTGAACTCTACATATGGTTCATATGTACATATGGTACACATTTTGAACACATGGGTTCATATTGTCAATGAGCTAAATCACTTTCATGGATAGAGTGATGTTTAAAAGCCTCAACTATAAGCTGTCAGGGAAGGAGTTTATATTGTTTTTGTAAAATCAGCTTTCAGAAATAAGCAGGTCAAACATTTGACCTAATGGTTGCACAAAGCCAGAAGGTTTTTCGCAAATAACAATGTCCCTCAATTTAGTTTTCTCTATTCGGCTTGTCTGATTTTCTGTTTAAAACAACATGGTGTCTTAATGGAGAATGATTCACAACTGGAACAGAGTATTTTTTAAGGCTAAGAAGCCATCTCATTAAATCTGTTTGCCAGGTCATCTTGCTGTACAGAGGTTGTGTAGGTTACTGTTTGCCAAATCTGACTATTTCAAAGTAGATTTACTTCGATTGAGAGCAATACTCAGTTTATTTACTGTAAGTGTTCAGTTAAATCTACACTAAAGACCACAAGTTAATTATTCAAGACGTAGATGTCGTGTTCAATTTGAAATACAAATAAACATTATGGGTGATCACAGAGAGGGTGAGGGAGAGACCCAGAGGAATAAAGGGAGGATATTTGTTACACAAGCTTTGAGAGGCGAAGGCTGGAAAGAGGAGAGGATGGTGGGGGGTGGAGGTGGAGAAGACCTCAGGAGTCTTGGCTTGCTGTCCCTTGGCAGCTCCAGGCCCAAACAGAAGCAAGGGTATCCGTTTCCAGAAAACACAGAAAGTGGAATAGTGAAATACACGAGAGAAAATACACAACAGAGAAGCGGATGGAGAATGTAACTGAAATGGAAATAAAAGAGGAACATTCGAGGGGTGAACCCACAATGAAAGATTCGGCATTTGTTTGTTTTCTGTCTTTATTTGACAGTAATCATGTTTGTATTGATGGGCGTTCACTCTGATAGGATGCAATACAGTATGTGATAAATGTGGCACAAATGAACTAGTCCACAATATTCTCCAGACACAATTAATTAGCTAATTTGCCCCGTTGTTAGATCACATTAGTCTCGAGCTGAACCATGTCAAATGCTAACATAAATCAGCTTCTGCTCTGCTATCTTCGGCTGAACACAAGTGTGCTTCAGTGATTGGAGGCGACCATTTGGGTCAGACTGGCTCAGAAACAGCTGAGCATCCAGGCTGCAGTCGCGCTCATCGCCAGCTGGGGGCGAGCAGCAGCCATGCACAACATCAGCCCCCCCAACCCACATCTCTCCTCACCCTCTCTCCCATGTTAGAGAGAGAGGGAGAAATGTGATTTCGCTAGAAGGCCAGACAATTAGTGGCTGTTGGAGGAACGCATGACACACATCTCAGCTGAGGGAGGAGAGCAAGACTGACAGAGGGAGGCAGACTCAGGCACGAGGGGAGAGGGGAGAGGGGAGAGGGGAGGAGGTTGGGGGGGGGGGGGGGGGGGGGGGGGCAGTTGAGAGATAGACGGAGAGAGATGGGCTTTATTTGAATGCTTAATCACCACCAAGGCAGTGGGAGTAGCCGAAATTATGGGAGATGTCATGTGACACTCTACCTGCAATCGTTTCACGTCAGTGTCCGTCTTCATTTCCCCCTGCTGTCAACACGACACCAAAGCCTCAATTAGCGAAATATCACACAAGGACAAATTAAGCAAATTACCTCCTGCTATTTTGTCGCGAGCTTATAAGTGTTTTTTTTATTCCAAATGATTGATTTTTTTTTTCAAAGCTGTGAAATTCAGTCACGTGACTTTCACAACGCTGATGGTGTTTTAATACACCAGAATACATAGATGACTAATCGGCAACGTGGATGGGCAATCATGTATGACGACATTTCCAGTGAGAGACGCAATTAAATGATGTTTGAGTGTACTCGTGTGTGTGTGTGTGTGTGTGTGTGTGTGTGTGTGTGTGTGTGTGTGTGTGTGTGTGTGTGTGTGTGTGTGTGATGTAGGCTACTGATGGGAATGGTCCTCTGTGTATAGAGTGCAGGGTGACTCAGATCATAAAGTGTGTGTGTGTGTGACTGTTTGACAGAAAGAGATGAAAGTGCGCTCCTCGTATCCCGCAGGCACGCGGGCACAATGCAGTTGCGCACGTGGCATGCACTACTCACGAGCCCTGGCGAAAAAAAATATAGCAATAATGCTTGTAGCTTAACATTGTAACATCATGTGTGTATGCAGGGGCGGACTGGGACTAAAAATCAGCCAGGGAAACTCGGCCGGCCGACCGGCCCACTCCGGTATTCCCAATGGCCAGTCCGCCCCTGTGTACCTGCGGTGGTTTAAGGTGTATTGACCTATTACATGATCACTCTCGTGTTTCCATCGGAATGTGCCGTTTTTGCAGTGGTATGATCAAACAATTATCTAGCCACACACACACGCTCACACTATTTCATCCTCACTCCCCCTTTCCTCCTTTTCTTTTTGCTTCCCTCTCACTTAAGCTTTTCGCACAAGCCAGTGTGTGTGTTTGGGGGTATCTTGCGTTTTGTGTGTGTGTCTGTGGGCTCGATTCTCTCAGGCCGGCTCAGTGAGCACAGAAGTAGAGAGAGGGAGGGAGAGTGAGTGAGGGTGAGAGAGGGAGAGAGAGTTTTGTACGGGGGAGGGACAGACATCCTCCAGCCGGGGAGCAGAGCCTCAGTCTGAGCAGCCGACAGTCGCGCTGTCTGTCTCCCCATCAGCATCACCACCACCCGTCTGCACACAATTTTGGAGTAGACACCTCGTGCTGTGACACTGCCCTACGAGCATGGGTGTGTGACTGTGTGTGCGCGTGTGTGTTTGAGTCGTGGGGGAAATAAACCCAGCAGCCTGCGGCATTAAAGGGCAGCATCTTCGGTCCCCCATTACGCGAACAGGGGAGCACAGCAGAGGAACGAGCGGTTGGCACAGAAGGTGGCATGGAGGAGAGGTGTGTGTGTGTCTGTGCACGGAGGCAGGGCTGTGGGATGTGGTGTCTGACGGACGCGGAGAGATGCTGTGAGCTTTGGTATTAGCAGGCAGCTGCGCACCGAGCCGCTCTCCTCCCGCCCTCCCTCCTCAGCTGCTCTACTCGCACCGACCATTCGCTGAAATCGGGGAATCGGCTCCACACGGCTCGCTGTGCTCACTACCGCTGGCGTCCTGCACGGGGATTTGACACAACCAGGTATGTGCAGCCGCGGAGCCCATTTGGGCGCTGGATGCGTGTTTGCATGGCGGGGGAATCTTGACTGACTTCATCCTACATCTTCTTGTTGCTTCCCTCCCCTCCCTCTGTGGCCCTGTCAGCGGATTAATGAAACGTTATTTGAGAATGATGCGGTTAGATGGCATCATCTGTCGATGTATCTGGGGTGAAAAATACAAAAAAATTGAGGTGTTGAGATGTGTTTTAAACGTTTGGTTGTTTATTACCAAAAACAGATCTCATACCAACACTGTCAACGTCCCATTACTCTCATTCTAACCTTTCCTCATGTTGATATGCATAACGCTAAACATGAGCATGTGAGCAATGCTGTTGTTTCACACTGAGCAAATTATGCGATGAGACTGGTTCTCCTCATGCCGGCCAAAGAAAAGGTAATATTTTGATTTATGAGGCGAGACAATCTGTTGTGATGTTGGCTGGATTCCTAGGGCTGCAGGCAGATATTTCACTGTTGGGAAATACACCGGTTAGGAGAAGGGAGGCAGAATGTAGCTGAGGATGGGCGTGAGGGCAATATGATCTGAGGATGCACACACCCTCACATACTCATCCCCCACTGGTGTGCTTCGCTCTTCTCTCTGGGCAGCAAATGCATGCTTAAAAGCAATCATGCACGGAGGCATGCATGGCGCACATGTGTGTGCACGCTCTGCTGCACACACAGACTCATGGGCATGCACACACCCACATGTACACCAATCCACACTCCACCATAATCCATAATCATGTGTTCTGGAGACATGACGTAACACATCTCTCATCTGCATGCAGTTGGTTTGCAAAGAAAGATCCCTCAGCTTCACACAGAATGATGAGAGAATGTACAGCCCATCACCGCATGTAGTGTAATTGCTTGCAGCAAAATAACCTCAAATTGGCATACTTGAGCTTTAATCAGGAGAGGAGAGCAGATTGTACTATTGTGAGATATAGGTTAGCATGCCTCCAACTGACACTCATTTTTCATCAAAGTAGAGTGGTAGAGACTGTGGGACTGTGAGAAATGTAGTGTTTTAGAGTGCTCTGCTAATCAGAAGCATTAGGAAGAAGCGGGGGAAATGGGTCCCTGGACATTATGCAGGGATGGGGTAGCAGTGCATCAGAGCAGAGGGAGTGGGTGTGGCTGGGGTGCTCCCCTTTCTCTGGAGGTTTCTCTAGTCTGACTCACATACCTCAGGACAACAGGAATTCCCACTTTTTTTCATTTGTCAGAGTTGCAGGTAACTATTTTTCGGTTGCCTTTACAGTAGCTGTCCAGGCATATTTTACAACAGGTATTTTGAGTTTCAATGTTGCCTAGAGGCACATAACCTTTGAATTATTGAGCGTGGAATAATAGGTTTATATGGAGAAAACAAAAATATATATATGCACATTAATTTAACATGGCTTTTTGAATATATACCATGCTTGAAAACGTCATACTGTATGATGTAATACACACTAATAGCTACCTATTGTATGTACTGTATGTTCCACATACTACAGTGCTCTACAGTATATCTTGGTGGGCAGAGGGTGTGTCTTTGAGCACATGCTACTTAAATGAAGTATTTATATCTCATTCTATTAAAAACCCATATAGCGTTGCCCACTTATCTCTACATAGGTATTACAGAATGAGCTTTATCACACTAGATTTGCTTACATTACGCTACAAAGCATGGATGAACAATAGCGGAGATACTGTAGACTTAGATAACCCAACATGTGATCTGATTCTCACATGTGCTTGTCATGATGACTTAGAATAAATGGTTCCATTTAATCTGTTGCCAATTTGCTTGTTGGTCTTCTCTCAGCATGGGGTTGCAGTTCCTGTCAATTTTATAACACATTGAAGTAGGATAAGGTGATCCAGTTATCTGCCATCATTTTCACCGCCATTAAGCTGTAATGAGACGATACAGGCGATACATTGTGCGTATTATCAAGTAATTTGCGAACAAACTCCAGTTCTGGAAGAGGGTGGATACCTAATCTGTCTAACTTTAACACGCAGATGTCAGGGTGCTGGCTCTGTAAAGAGAGAGTAAACTCCCTAATTGTTAATGAACACTTATTAAACCCTAAAACTCTTTTGTTGTGATTTGTTCTGACATAGTGCAGCCACGGTGCTTTATATAAATAATGTTCCAGTCACTGTTACCATAAACAGTAACATATTCCAGATGCTGTCAGCCATGATTGGGGCTGTAGCTCAATTATATCACTGCATCACAATAATTGGCCAAATGAATCATTATTAGGTGTTTGTCTGGAGTGTTGTGTATTCCATAATGGTTGAGCCATTCAACAATATGGAGCCTAAAAAATATGTTTTGATTACACATCATCTAAAATGGGTAATCAATTTGACATATTGCCTAATATAAACCTAAAAGGTTAGTTAATATTATGCACAACACACTTCTATGCAGGCAAGATCCATTTGTATGTGTAATTATGAATTGAACCAGGAATGGAAAAACAAGTATTGATGACAAAATGAACAATGAACAAAACTTCTCCTTCTCTGCATTAGAGAGAACCTTTTTGCCGGTTCACCCCTCACATCTGAGCGCAAATGCACTCAAAGCAACACTAATCTGAAATTAACCACCCATGGACATTTTACTAATAGAATAATTAAAGTACTTTGAGATTTCTCAAGGAATGATTCATTTTGCCAATCAAGAAATAATATAATTAAAACATTTATTTTAGATTTAATAACTTTTACAATTCAAGTGTTCGTCCAGATCAGATGATATCAACACACTTCACGTACACACAATTTGTAATACCTTTCTTTTGTTACTATTAATAATGAATACGCCCTTATTTGTTATTTTCTGACAACACACCAAAGCAATTAGCTTGGCTTAAAGCCATCTTTTCCCCATGATCTGCTGAACCTGTGACATGGTGCATTCAATATTCGGTTAATACTTGTGCTTTGTCAAAACGGTTTTTCCTTTCCAACCACTTTTAAACCTTGAATTAAAAACTCAGTTGCACAGTGTAACCGTTTATTGAGTTTAATTAAAGTACTTCTGGTAGCCATATCAGAAGACAGCACTCTAACACTGACAGCCACAGAGGGAGAAGTCTTGAGCTGTGCATTAGCAGCACATTTCTGCAACTTAAAGATACTCTGCCTGTGCTCAGTCACCCAGAGACAACCTCCTCTGTTATCTGTGTATCACCTCTACGTCTGCAGAGGGCAACAAAAGTGTGTTTGATCGTAACAGAAAGGAAACCCAACATTGCCAACCCAAAAGCCCAGAGAGAAGTGCTTCATCTCAACTGACTGGCTAGCTTCAGAGCCGTGACCTCAACCACTTTCTTACAAAGGCAACACTCAAACCCGTCAGTTCTTCAGTATAAGACTGAAAGGAGACATAGATTGTGATGCCAAAGTTGAACTTTATGCATTATTAACACTCTTTGGCTATGAAAGGTTTGCAGTTGTTATCATCATCGACCACATTCCTGCATTTCTGTTGCAACCAACTTATTTAGTTTCTATAATATTATATAGGTATCTCCCAAATCTCCTTTATTATTTAGTGGTATATCCCTTTCAATTTTCAAGTCATTCTATTTTATATCAATCCATTACAATCCCACTCATTTTATTTCCGTCATGCCTACATTAAATTCTGTTCATTATATTGTGTTATTCAAGTGTGGAAATTATAACCATTTTCATTTATTATACACACACATTTGCAATTTACTTTAATGCTATAAGGAATCACTGAATGTGAAAATAACTAACTAATTTCAGATTGACTGATTATAAGTAAATCGTTTTTACCCCAAATTTGAATAAATGGTCATGACTGTATAATGTAAATGTTCCAGTCTTAGTTGATCATGAAACTGCTGTTGAAACTCTCCACATTGTTATTAATCAGCAAAGCAGTGGGAACCCGCACATTCATTTTCAAACAATTACTGTGGCTGATTAGGATTTGCTAAGGTTACAGATGGGTAGAGCTAAGCTAGGAGTTAAGTGATGTTGTAAAAAAAATCTATTGGATAATAACAGTTATACACTTTCTAATCATAACAGTTCCAATTAAACTAACCACAGTTGTGTCAATCAGTTTTAGTCTGTTCATGCCCCCACAGTCCAGAGAGGAGGTCTGATCCGTCAACATAAGTGGAAACACCTGTGTGGGTGTGTAGCGGCTTTACATATTTTGCAAAATGAATCATTTCTTGAGGATTCTTTTATTTGGATACCATACCATACCATTGACGAAACAATACATGCCTAATAGACATGTCTTATATACTTACCCTGGTTGAGGAAGTGAATAAGCCATCACTCTCCTACCCTAACAACATGTGCCCTTGAACAAGGCACTTAACCCTTGCAAGCTCACTGATTAACACAAGTTGACTCTGCCTGTGCTGCGACGCCCCTCAGTTTTGTGCATGCAGGTTTGAGATTCATATGCGAGCTAAACACGTTAGTGTAAGTTGTTGAGGCAATGTCAGAACACGTTTAAACAATATCTAATGTGATTTATTTGCGAGGAGGGGCAGTTTTGGGTCATGACCCAATGGTTGCAAAAAGGCTGCTCTTGGCTTTACGCCAGTCTACAAGATAGCTGAGTCATGACTTTCTCATAGCATAAATGTACTGTAGTCGTCTTTACCTCATTCTAAATTGCAATGCAGATTTTCTCTTAATTTCACAACTCAAGTCCATACTGACCAAATGTTCTAGGAATCAGTACTTTTCCATTAAATGACAGCTTAGGTTACAGTTCCTAACTAGCTGCATTGAGTTTACTCACCTACTAAGATTGGTACTATTGCACAAGACCTTCATCATTACATACAATGCAAAGTGTTTCCTGCACAAACATCCTTTCCCCATGCCCGCACCAAACCTTAAACTGTAAAGTTAACACATGGTGAAGCCCTTACATTCATTCAATCAACCATGAATCTGGCAGAAACACATCAATGCTGGCAACTATAGCCTTAAGCTCAATTTGCTAATGCCTGGTCCTTCTTCAGAGCCCAGCATTAAAAGTGAACTGTGATGCCATGTTTCACAGCTCATTTGAAGTGAGCATGTCTCTGTAGTCATGAGACTGTAGACACATCAAGCTCTACATGTATATCCCAAAACTAATGTGGAGCAGCTGTCAGATTCTCTGCACAACAACCATTCATTTCTACTCTGTTGGCCTGTTTTACTATAGAAAACACACACCTCTCAGCAACTCCAAGTTGTTAAAGGCCACATGGCGGGATTCTAGTCTCTAGTCCCTTTCCATGATACTAACATGACCATTTCATTTTCAGAAATACTATATAGTCTGATGCAAATATGCATTATGACAACTGAATGGTTCAGTTGCTGATACTTTCAAATCTAACTAAGTGAGACATTTAATGTATGACAACATAGGTCATTAACCTCATCATTTCAATTTGTGGAAACACTCTCATCATTACGATCAATAAATAGAAAATAGCAAATATACAGATTATGACTTGTGATCTTAAAATATGGTGTTGAAAATGACGAACAAGAGAAGATGCGTATTTAGGGTTCTCGCATTTTTCATTCATCAAGATATTTATTTGTGTTAAACACACTCCGACAAGAGTATTGTAGCACTGAAGCAATTACAAGTATTGGTTCTCCTGCTGTAGAAGCTGGATATATCAGTGTAGCCAGTGTCTATTGACCTTGACTGACAAATACAGTACACACATCGATACATGAATGCCAAGCAGTCATATACACATGCAATTGATTTCCCCCAACACCTCTACCCCGCCCACTTACAAGTACATACACACAACGCTTTAATTCTCTCTCTTTGTCTGCACATAGGTTACTGCGATGCTCTGTGGGATTTGTTTTAAAGCATTGTGCTAAACAATAAAGCAATTCAATCTTTACTGAGATTTGTTTAACATTTCAAATGAATGTTCCATGTTGTATGTAAATCATTGGTATCTTTGCACAATACATCTAAAGATTGTTAGATTAAACTGATTGTCTAATTTCCACAGTCTCTATATGTAAGTAACAACCCTGCCCGTGATATTTTAGAATCTGCAAGAAAATGTAAAGTTAATATTTGTTTTTTTGTTTTTTTTGTCTTACAGAGAGAGATGTACCATTTCGGGAAGAAGGCCACTGGATTAAAAAATATTGAGCTTCTACACGGACTGTGGTTTTAGTGACTGTGAGCTGGAATCCCATTGTCAATCACAGGTTGATCGTGCTTGGCTCATCTACGCTGTATTCTCAGCCAAATTCTCCTTCCACTTGATGATACAAATAGTCCACAGTATTGCCATCCATGGTTTCTGCCCTAATAAATACTATATCATCCTACATTAAAAAGATTTGCAAAGGAATGTTTACAAAGAAATTGGCAAACCCAATAAAGAAGAAAGAGAGAAGTGAAAATAAAGAGCCCAAATTGACCACTGATTTGCAAGCGCACAATCTAACTCTCTCTACCACACTGAAGACTACCGTTAAAAAGATTTCCAAATGCTCTTCGGCACGTAACATATCGCTTGAAGAAGACGACGGAAAAAACGATTGCTCATCACTGTCACCCACTTTCAGCTATCGAGTAGCTATAGCAAATGGACTCCCGAAAAACTCTCTCTTTTTGAATAATAATGAAAGTATCTTTTCTGAGGTTCTTTCAATTGATAGTAATTACTCTGACTCCTTGAGTGAGACAAAACTTGTAAGGAGACTGGATGAGCAAAAATCACACACTATGCCAGTAAGACGAAACAGGAAGAGCCTCATCAGTTTGGCTCCCTCTGATGGCAGCTCTGAGGGCGAGCGAGTGGAACGCTCAAGTCTACACACACTTAGGCTTGGTGCTCTACGCAAGTTAAGAAAATGGAAAAAGAGTCAGGAATGTGTCTCCTCCGACTCCGAGGTGAGCAATTGGAGGAAAACCTTGGGCATCCGGAGCAAGTCCTTGGACCGTGCTGGACGGCAGCAAAAGAGCTCAACCCTGGAGCCTGGCTCCTCCTCCACAGGTTGCATTAGTCAGACCCAGGATGTCATGGAAATGATCTTTAAGGAGCTTCAGGGGATCAGCCAGATAGAGACAGAGCTGTCCGAGCTACGCGGCCATGTAAATGCCCTAAAAAGCTCCATTGATGAGATATCCAGCAGTGTGGAAGTAGTTCAAAGTGAGATTGAGCAGCTTCGCACAGGATTTGTCCAATCTAGAAGGGAAACACGTGATATTCATGACTACATAAAACAAATTAGCCACCAGGCCAATAATTCAACCTTGCGGTTCATTAATGTTCCCGAAGAAAGGGCAGAGAAAACAGAGAGTGTAATATACAAAATACTGAAAGACAAAATGGGTTTCGTTGATGCCCTTAAAACAATAAAAATTGAGCTTGCTCATAGGTTAGGGCAACAGAGAGAATGTTCTAATGCAAAACCCCGCCCAATTATTGTTATTTTTGCAACAACCCAAGAAAGAGATGTGGTCTTAAAAAAGTGCTATAAACTCAAAGGAACAGGTATTATAGTCTCTACAGATAGCTTAACTCAAGATGGAAAGGAGAGAAAAGACAAAGCAATGTCTTCCTCACAAACCTATGAAAGCATGGATATAAAAGTCTCAGGGAAGGACAAAGTAGTGGAGAGCGATGACTGGGATTCAATGGACAGTGATAAAGAATTAGATGAATTAAGCAGAAATAAATATGCAATGGTGGTTTCAAAGCCTGTTCACAAGAGCAAATCAGAGAAGAGGCGTTCCCATGACCATAGCCGGTCAGGAGAGGAAGCCGGCTACTCAGGCACTGTTCACTATGCTGATGACGCCTACTATGACCCAGACAAGCATGCAAAGGCTTACTACTCTGATTTGACCCCAGGTTGGCTTTCCCAGAGTGACTACTCCACCCCAAAACTCAGCCGCTCTGAGTCTGACTGCTCAAAGCTTTGCCAGTCGTACTCCGAGGACTTTTCAGAAAGTCAGTATTTTACACGGGCAAATGGCGGCTCACTGCTGTCCTCTTCCGATCAGGAACTGTGGCAGAGGAAACAAGAAGACATGTCCACCTCCTGGTATGCTAGCGAGACTCAGCCGCTCGGCCATGATAATCAAACATATGAACACAATGAGATTGAGACTACAGAAACTATTGACAGTGGGGTGAGCAATGGACTTGTCTGCATGTCAGGAGACAGAAGCCACTACAGTGGCTCCCAGGTCTCTCTTCAAGGTGACCTATCACCCTGGAAAGACTGGCATCATCTCGAGCAGGGTGCTGACTCTGGTTTGGAAGCTTCTATAGAGGTCAGCAGTCCCTTTGACCCATCAACCATCCCCGGTTTTCCAGAAAACATCACTAAATGTCAGGAGGTTGATTTACAATTTGAAGGAGAAGAGGAATTCATGATGCTTGACAGAGACTCTCTACCACCTATAACCACACACATTATTCCTCCCGTCACAGAACGGGAGACTGTCATCAAGACATCTGCCCGGCAGTCTAAAGAAGAATATAAGATTAGTGCAAAAGAAAACACTAAAGTATCATCTAAAGATACCCCTAAAGCTGCTGCTAAGTCTACACATAAACAGACTAAATTGGCTCCTAAAGAAGAAACCACCAAAATATTGCCTAAGGAAGTCTCAAAGGTTTCTGCTACTAAAGTTTCATCTAAAGGGACCTCTAAAGCAACTCCTAAAGATGTATCTAAAGAGGTACAGAAATCAGCAGTTAAAGAACCCTCTCAAGCCCTTCCTAAAGAACGTACAAAAGTAACACCTAAAGATACAACAAAGCCCACTGTTAAAGAAGTTTCTAAAGTGACATCAAAGATAACTTCTAATGAGCCTACCAAAGTCACTCCTAAAACTACCCCGAAAGTTAGCCCGATAGTGACTCCAAAAGAAAGTCCAAGAGAGTCACCGAAAGAGAGCCCGAAAATAACTCCATTTGTGAGCCCTATTTCAACCCCTAAAGAGTCCCCTAAAGAATCCCCTAAGGAGTCTCCTAAAGTGTTTGCAAAAGATCTACCACAAGTTGCACCTAAAGAAGGTCTGAAAGTTGTTGCTAAAGAGGTTACCAAAGAAGCTGCACAACTACCCCCAAAAGAGACCCCAAAAGAGATAACTAAAATAGCATCTAAGGAGACTGGTAAAGTACCCACTAAAGAGGTTTCTAAGATTCCACCTAAAGAAGTTTCTAAGATTCCACCTCAAGAAGTTTCTAAGATTCCACCTCAAGAAGTTTCTAAGATGCCACCTAAAGAAGTTTCTAAGATTCCACCTAAAGAAGTTTCTAAGATTTCACCTCAAGAAGTTTCTAAGATTCCACCTAAAGAAGTTTCTAAGATTCCACCTCAAGAAGTTTCTAAGATTCCACCTCAAGAAGCCCCAAAGGTAGCACCTCAAGAGAGTCCCAAGGTGCTACCCAATGAGATCCCAAAAGCAGTCCCATCAGAAGCCCCTAAAGTTGCACCCAAAGTAGTATCTAAAGATGCCCCTAAAGAAACCCCCAAAGTAGTTCCGAAGGATAAATTCCCTGAACTGGATGTCAATCATAGCTTTCACCAGTCTCAGAATAAATCTTCAACTATGTACCGCAGTCAGAGTGAGATTCGAACAGAGAAAGTTGAGGAGGTCCCCAAGTCTTGGAGTAGTAGGCTCAGCATAGATCTCACTGAGAAGTCCTTTGGTTTTGGCTTTGGCTCTACACTGCAGAGAGCTAAGTCAGCTCTGGAGGTTGTTTTGAAGTCTGCCCCTCCCACTCCTAATCCTGCTCCTCCAGAGGCGCCCACCAGCTCATCATTTATGGGCCGTTTTCGCACCCTGTCCACCTCTGGTGTTAGTAACCCTTCTACTGCAACAGACTCAGATGCCTACAAAGAGCCTGTCTTTAACAAGGCAGAGGATAAGAAAGCAGGTTCAGACCCAGAAGCTGTGGAACAACCAGTGGACAATGAGACCCACTATGTTGAAGTGATGGAGCAGGTACTAGCCAACTTGGAGAACAGAACTAATGCTGATGAGACAGATGAGACAGATGAAGCTGTGCAGGAGTGTGAGACTTCTCAGGACTATGATGTGTCTGATGACGTTGATGCCTCTCAAGATGATGATGCCTTTGAGGACTTAGAGGCCTCTCAAGATATTGAAGCCACAGATAACTATGAGACAAGTAAAGAGGCATGTGTTCTGGAGTATGATTGCAATTTGGATGAAGAGTACAATGAAGACTATGAAACCCACCTCACAGAGGACACAGCTGAATATGACGCAATGGTGGAATATGTAGACGTAGAAGATCCTGATGACAATGATGTGACAGAGGAGATGGAAGAGGGCGATGAGGAGTTAGAAGAGGTAGAGGAGATAACAGAGGAGGTAGCTGAGGTGTCTGAAAAAGTGGATCAAAAAGAGGATGAAAACAAAAATATTTCAGAGGAGAAGTCTACAGAGAAGTCAACAGAGGCCCCATCCAAGAAACGTATCCGACCAACATTCAAGGAGGCCGCACTGAGGGCTTACAGGAAACAGATGGCTGAACTTGAGCAGCAGATCCTGGCAGGAGGTATGTCTCTTAATTATTTTGTGTTTGTCTCATTGTTACTATTTGTATAATGTTTTACTACTGTTTAATAAGGAATTACATTAGCAATACAGGTACAACTGTAACAGTAAGTAGTCATCAAAACGAGACAGTTGTGACTTAAATAACTATATCAGTGGTTTGGAATCACAGCACTTTAACTACAAATTGTGAATACTTTGTAGTTTGCAGTACTTCACAAAGATTGCCGACTGTTTGGTAGGTGTATTCATGTTTGCACTCGTGAGTTTTTCAGCAACATGAATGTACAAAGTCATGTTTTACACTGAAAAGATACAGCAATAGACTCTTAAATGTCATATGTTGGAGGATCCTTTAAAAGTTTAATTTCTCTCCTAAAGACGTACGGCCCGTCCACACGGCTGCGTGCGTTGCTTCAACGGAGACGCTTCCCATTCACTTTGAATGGGGTGACGTCACGCTTTGCCGAACTGCATTGTGGTTCCGTCGTGTCGCTTTGCCTCCGTTGCTCGCTTCGAAAGTTGAGAAAAGTTAAACTTTTCAAGCGTCGACGGAAGCGCCAGCCAATCAAATCATATGCCAGTACAAGCTCTAGCCAATCAAACCGCGTGCTTGTGTGTCCAGGGCGGGAGATTAATGTGATTGGTTGTTGGTCGCACGCCAGACACGCCCACCGGCAAGCTTCAACGCATGCTGCCGTGTGGATGTACCGTTAACACCTGAATTCTGACCTAAGAATGCCTATGAAAAGGAAAATGACATTAGAATTATTTGGAAAATGTAGGTAACTAATCTCAAGTACACATGTTTTTTTAACCCTTAGATGCACGAGTGACTGGACCCTACACTCTTCCATAAGTGGGTCTAAAAGGACCCGTATTAGAATAATATGTGTTTTTATGCAATTTTTGTCATTTTGGTTAAGAAAAATGTCTTGTATAATATTTAGTATTATATTTTGGTTCACACTAGAAATATTTTATATTTAATTTTTCACTATTTATCATTTTAGAAATGTCTTCTACATTTTGAAAAAAAACGTTTTCCCATAGGATTCCATAGAAAATGCATGCGGGTCATTTTTGACCCACTTATGGAAGCTTGGGGTACTAATACAAAAACTACAATTTCTTAAAATGTAAATTAAAAATGTGAATGGCATGATATCCAAAACATGTTTTTTGCGGAATAGCTGGAATATGAAATGATAAAAAAATGTAATTACAGAGATACTTCAAGAAAACCACCTCACCGGGTCCAAAAAGACCCACTTATGCATCTAAGGGTTAAGTTAACAAGATATACAAAAACATTGATGTCCTTGGTAAGCCTTAACATTCAGTGGGTACAGCGTTTTAGTGTCTGAATCATAGTGAATAGATTTCATTCGTGTGGTCGATACAAGCTGTACAATTGAAACGTGGTGGTTTAATATTGTTGGATTTGTGGGAACATCAGACTTGACCAACTTGAACGATTTCTCTTTGAATTGGTAATATGCTTTGAGTTGAAAAGCTGAGTTGGAGGACTTTCTCTGGAGGTGGATGACAGTGTTTCTGGTGGCATTGACTTTGAATTGGTATTCCCATGGCACAGAACTAGGTTCTTTTAGTAGCAGACTGTGGCTGAGAGGATAATACTCTTAAACATGTTTTCTGAAGGTTTATCATTTATCATCAATATTGAAAAGACCTCTAAAAGCTACGATAGGGCTGGCCTCCAAAACTACCATCAATACTTCACACTAAAATATTTCTACAGTCAATGTGTGGTAAGACAGTTCAAGCATGCGTCGACATGAAGTCTCACACGTAGGTTGCAGTCGAATAGTCCATTTAGCTTAGGAACCTTCCTAACGGAGTGAAATGACCCGGAAGTAACTCAGTGGCAGCCATGATATGTGCCGTTTGAATTCTCTAGATCAGCGGTTTTCAAAGTGTGAGGCGCGCCTCCCCTGGGGGGCGCCAGAGAGCTTCAGGGGAGGCGCAGCTTGAGAAAAAGAACAACGAGAAAAAGACGAGTAAAGTGACACTTGCACACTTTTGGCTGTCTGTGGAGACTGTGGGTTCCCCCACCTCGCCAAAAAGGCTGTAAAAGTGCTCATTCCCTTCACCTCCACCTACCTGTGTGAGTGCAGGTTTTCCGCATTGACTTTGATCAAAAGCAAGTGCCGGTGAAGGCTGCAGCCAGAGGATGATCTGCGTTTATTCCTGTGTGCATCAAAGACGCAGACTCATTGTTCCCACTAAAGTAGGGGTGAGTGTAATAAGGAGGCAAAGTTGACGTTCAGTGTGTTGCCGGGAGCATATAAGGATTTATCCACGATGTTGAAAATGTAAATTTAAAAAAAAATATATGTGTTGAGAACACCGTGCGAAAATATACGGGTCGTGCTGCAGCTAGATTTGCCTGTCCTCTGTAAGAAGGTGTCGGCGACTGACATGCAAGGAAGAACGGCTGTCCACAGGCTGTTCCAACTTTAACAACTTTATTAACTTCCATGGTAGTGAATTGAACATGCTATTGTAATTGGGTGTGTGGTATATTTTCATGCACGCACACGCATGTTCCACAACACACTGAACAACACTCAATTGTCCGATCGCTACCAGTGTCCTTGCGATCTTGTTATAAGTTGAGACCATTCGGGCTTATTCTAGAGGGGTGCAAGGAATAGTCCAAGTAGTGGGGGAGTTTTATACAACATGTTTAAAACATAAAGATAAAAATGTTTTAAAAAGTTATTGTTTAATGTTTTAAGGAGGTGATGCTACTCAGCCAATCATATCGGTGCACTCAGTGAGTCAGCACGATAGATTCAAACACACACACAGAGACGAGACAAGAGGAGAGAAACAGTCTTCATTTTCTCTTACTGGACCTCTTTGAAATGCAATTGAATACCCCTGCATTATAGCAACAACAACAATAATAATAATAATAGCAATAATAATTGGGAGGGGGGGCGCCGCTGTTCTCATGTTCTCTGAGGGGAGGCTCACCTTCCCACACTTTGAAAACCCCTGCTCTAGATGATAGGAAAGGAGGTTTCAAACTTCCTTTATAACCTCTTTTAGCTTAGGAACCACTGGACCTCCCTTTACGAAAGGAGAGGAGAAAATGCTGCCCCACAATGCCTTGCAGCCGCAGCATTTGCCGTCACAAAACATTCGGCCGTTCACGGAAACAACCGATTATGACCGAAAAATGATATCATGAAGGTTACGGTGCTTATTAAGCATTTTAAAACGTATGTGGTAACTTGCCAAAGTGCTTTTTTGAACGTTCATCAGTATTATAATCAAAAAGAGAAATATGAACGTTAGTTTTTACTGAAATGATCAAATAAAGTCAACATTTCACAGTCTTTACTGAGCTGTGTGGGGTTTGTTCAACTTTTAAAAGATGTTTGAATGGTGATATACACAGTGATAGATGTTAAGGACTAACGTTTATAATAAATACATTTGTATTGATTTTAAGATCTTTTCATAGTTCATACAATCATACGTATTTTTTTATTTCAATTCCAACTTTGGTCATGAAGAATATGTTTCTCTGTTGTCCCCGTTCATAAAGCATAAAACAACAGCATCAGAGCACGGTGCAGAGTCTCTAGATGAGTTTACAGTAGTCCCTCGTTCTTATTATACATCCATGTAGTCCGCTGTATAGAAAACTATAGTTTCCATAGTTTCCCCACAGCAGCAGACACATTTATGACGTCCGCTGGCGCATCATAAACACGTCGGATAGTGAAAATGCAGTCGGATTCTCTAAAGTATCACAGTCTCTTCTCCTAAATCCTTTTGAATTCTCCTATCCACTATCCCTTAACCCCATGACGTTTCACACAGAGGTCAAGGGATAGACGATAAGGATAGACGTTAGGAGCTGATTTTTGGACTATTCGACCGCAACCATTGACTTTGCATTAAGGAGGTTCTGTATGTCACCTATGTTTGCACTATCGTGTTTGAAAAAAGGAGATATGCCTGACATGGAGCAGAATATATATTGCCAATGCTCTCATTTGTATTTCTGTATCATACGTTTGCCTTCCTGCAGAATGGCCTTGAATTAAAATGCTGTGTAACACATGGCTTGAGACTTATGTACAAAAGACACAATTCAAAATCAACACATGGTTAGATTGATTAATTGAAGGAAAAGTAGTCCTTCAACTGGAGTGAAAAAAGAGACCAGGGAATGTCCACTCTTACTTAAAATGAAAAAGCTCCTGACCTACATATGTAGCTGCTACTGCGGTACTCATGGTGAGGTAGGTACTTTAGTTCAGGGAATACCGGCACATGAGGACTGTGTGACAGATGAGTGCACAAACACAGTTGCCACATTCAACATTCAACACACATGCTGCAGAGAAAAAATATTTTCCAAAACTCTTTTTAAATTAAATGTGACCATGCCTACTGACCTTTTAACACCAACAAACTGCAACTATTAGTATGCAAGATAGAAAGGACACATTGTCATCACAATTATAACCAAAGACTTAGACACACACACCATGACTATTGTTCAAATTATTAAATTCAGTGTTACTCATCCTTGTTGATACAATCTGAATATTTACCCTTCATATACATTGTGTTTGCTTGTCTACCGGGCAATACGAGTCAGATTGACTCACTTCTCAGTATTGACTCGTTCATGTGCAAGTTGTGGCGTGCTTTAGATTCTGGGCATATGAATATACTCAGTCTCTGATGGCTTTCGGCTCCTTTCTTCATCTTTCTTCACATTACTCAGTGGCCTTGTCTAAAACATTGTACATAGTATATCGTTTTTCCTGGTACTAGGAAAAGTGGTGTATGAGTCAAGATGCTTTTGTTAGTTTTCACCGAACTGTGTGAAGAACATTTGAGACAATGTGAGAAAGGCCAACACTAGGAAGATACATTAGAGTTTATACTGTGCTTATTTTGATGATAAGAGGTCATTGTAAATATTGGTACAAGCCATTAATGGGTATTTTT